AAATCTATTGTTTCTGCTGGTTCAAAGGGAGGAAGTTTTAAAAAGGATACAACTAGTCCAAGGTCCCACTTAGGAACTAAAGTGTTTTGTCTTGGTCTTTCAAGACTAAAACTACGAACCAAAAGAGAAATATGCTCATTGTTTCCAAAATCTGGGCCACCAGAAATATGAATAGTTCTTGAAATAGCTGATATATATCCCTTAATAGTAGAGGGACATCATCCTTTGGATTCAAAAAGAAAAACTAGAAAGTCTGCTAATTGTTGTACGGTGACTTGGAAAGGATCAATTTCCCGCTCACTACACTAATCTGAGAAGATTGACCATTTTGCATCATAGACAATGCTAGTGGAGTCTCTGACAGACTTTGTGAGATGCTTGGATGCTCCTTCAGAAAAACCTCTCTTTCTGATGCTATCCCTGAGAGAAGCCAGGCGTGTAGATGAAGTTTTTCTGGATTTTGATAAAGAACCTTGCCCTTGATTTGAGACAGAAGGTCTGGTCTCAGAGGTAGAACTAGAGGACACGCACATTAAAAGCCAAAGGGGCTGTAGACAGGGCAAAAGGGAGAGCCTTGAACTGGAAAACGTTGATGTTTTAAACGAAGCACAGGTATTTCCTGTAAGTATGGGAAAAGGAATGTGGAAATAGGCATCTGAAAGATCCAGAGAAGTAGTCCACATTCCTGGAAGGATTGAAGTCCTGATTGATCTGTTGGTTTCCATTTTGAAATGGGGAACAATAAGAAAGTTGTTCAGAATAGATAGGTCTATGACCGGCCTCATTCATCCCGTCTTCTTTGGAACCAGACAAAGACGGGAATAAAATCTCGGAGATATAGTTAAGAGCGACACCTCCTCTATTGCAGATTTTTGTAACATTGTGTCCACTTCTACTGATAGAAGTTGATACTTGACTGGGTCTTGAGTATGAGACAAACTTATCGGAACTGCAGACAGAGGAGGTAGGCTCTTGAACTGAAGTGTTAATCCCCTTCGAATTATTGTCAGCACATAACAGTCTGAGGTAATTTTCTTCCACTGATTTAGGAAAAAACTTAACCTCCCCCCTACTGGTACTGATTTTTGAGGAACTTGTTGTAAATTTTCCCCTGGGGAAGCTGTCAATAACGTACGAGGGGGCAAAAACCTAGGTACTAGACCCAGGTTTCTTGGGACCTTTAAAACCACCAGAAGGCTTACCTGAGCTTTTACCGGAGTTATGGGATTTGTTCTGCGGTTTGCCGTAGTTATTCTTCCTTTTCTTAGCAGAAGAAGGAGGACCACCTGAAGCAGAAGTACTAGTAGAACTAGATGTAGCATAACCGACCTCTTGCCATTGTTAACTTGTACACTAACTTTGACTGGATGAGGGGTTTTGCTGAGTTCCTCTTGAATCCGCTGTACGGGTAAACCAACATCTTGTCAGTAAGTGGAGATTTCAGTAAAGAATTTTTCAAAGACTCAGCAACAGAAATGTTTTCAAGAAAATCTGCTCTTTTAGATAGGGTGCAATTAGCAATAGAACCCATTAAAAGCAACTGAGATGAACCTAGAGCTTTATCCAGTTGAAGTAAGAAGGATCGTACTTCTGCTGGAACAACCGAATCTTCGCTGTTAAGTAAATGTCCGGTTGCAGCTAGAAAATGTTCGGCTGTGCCAAGAAATTGAGAAGCACTACGAAGGAGATTCTCAGTCTTTGACAAAACAGGTTGAGTGAGACGAAGACCATCTACTAGCTTTTTTCCCAATAAAGATGAAAGAGATTTGTCACAACTGGGAACAAGTCTACCCAGTGAAAAATCAAAGATATAAAAATCCTTGTACTTAACCTGATCAGAAAAGGATGACATCCCAAATCCAGAGATTTTGTTATTAGCAACCTTTTCACTAGCAGAATTAGCGATACCTTCATTACTAAATTGTAAAGCAAATGCCATATGGCCAGATTCAGGAAAAGAATTGTGAGAAGTCACAGTATCCTGAGAAATACCACAGGAAGCTTCAAAAGTTGAAGAAGGTTTCTTCGGCTTGGAACCCCCAAGGGTGACCGGGGAATAGAAATATGGTCACCATTGGTCTTCCTCCGACCGGCGGTAAAACCCTCGCTAAAGTGGGGCGTCCGTTTGGCTGTGCGGGATGTACAAGTTCGCAGTCACGTCCGGTCAGAATGGGGACGTTAAATCCGATGCCTCGTGTAAAGAGAGTGCCACGTTCTTTGCACGTTAAGAACCCTTGTAACAACTCTTTGAGGGGTCCGTAGGGGGCCTGTTGCAAGGCTAAATTTCTGTCCTCATCCAATATACCCTCATTTTCCTGTGGCAGTCCAAATTTCTCCGACTTCATCCCGGACGACCTCTATTACAGGACCTACCTATTGTATTTATTGTTAATTTGTTCTCGTCCTGAACATGCATGAAATATTTGCCACTGGACGTTAAGCAACCAACAATCAATCAATCAATCTTCGGCTTGGAAGGAGAGGCAAAAGGGATATGTGCTTCATCCCTCATCAAGGTATACACCTTATCCCTAAGATCCTTCAAGGATGGAGGATCCTCAGTCTCCTTGGTGGGAGGTTGTTGAGCCGACTTAGAAGAAGGCTCAGGGGCCGTCTTCGATACCTTGGAAGAAGAAGAACTTTCAACATCCTCATCAGTGAGGAAAGCCCTTTCATGACTCCCAGGGGAAACAGAAAGCTCGTCATCCTCCCTCTCACCATATTCTACAGACTTAGCTGGAGAAGGTTGATGAGAAGAAACTCTATTCTCCAGTACAGACATACGACTGGATAGAGTACTCGAAAGACTCACCAAAGTCCAAAAGTCACTTCTGAAAACCATCCAAAGATGATGCATGATCAGAACCTTGAGTACCATGAGAAGAGCTAGAAGATTGAGCTCGAGAGTCAGGTACGGTGGTAGAAGGATCTACTGCAGGAGTCAAAGATACTGCTACGGGTGGAGCAGGAGCTAAAGGTGGAGCAGTAGCTACCCCAAAAGGGGGACCATAGAAATTGTCCCTATAAGGCCAAAAACCAGGTTGGTTTGGCATAAACCCACCATAAGGGTAAGACTGTGGCCAAGGTGGCTGAGACCATGAGGGTAAAGGTTGGGTGCCCGAGTTGGGAAGTATATACCCACAATAGGATAATGGGGGTCTAGAACCTTGCAAGTTCAAGCCCATATCTGTACCTGGGACAGAACCAATAGTACCCAATGAATTTACAGGCCTAGATAAAGTATGAGTCACCGAAGTTGACGTAGGTACCAACCAAAATGCATGGCCGAACCTTGTGAAAGGGTCGGATAGATAGTATTACCAGACACCGAAACCCCGGTCAATGTACTGGTAGTTTGGGTGGGGGGGACTTAAAGGTAGTGACCCATCCAGGAGATAGTCCGAACCAGGAATATTTACGTAAGGACTATTCAAATTAAAGTCCATAATAAAATTTACATTAGTCAAAACAAAAACACAAATAATTTGTTAGAAATTCAAACTAAACAAGGGAATAAATTTCCAATAATATACACAATATATGAAAAGCAATTAAGCTATTCAAAAATCTTTACAAACAACTAAACACTTCTCTGTTGAATCTTTAATAATTTGCACGTGTGACCGATATCGCAGATGAAAATTGAATGGGAGAATATGGGCAAACAGGGGTATATGTTCGGACCAGTGAGAGTACGTTTATTTTTAGTCGGGATTTTCCATTCTGACCTATAACGCAATTGGGGTTACACTCAGAATTTATGATGGTAACGTATTTATAGCTATAAAATAAGTCGAGATAAAGTGATAAAAGTAAACAAATGGCATCTGCAAGAAAATTAACACTTACATAAACTTTAATTAATGAACATTAATACACATATAAACATAGTGACTAATAGTAAGGGAATAGAAGTTTAAGTTACTTGAACCACCAATTCAGAGAGGGTTTGTGTGACCGACGTTTGCAAAGGAGGTAGAACCAATTCCCTCTGAATTATTTCACACCAGTTCCCATTGATTCATTTCACAACAGGACCAGTTCCCTCTGAATTTGTTCACACCAGGACCATTTTCAGAGAGTCTTTCAATCTCTACTTAGATTCAGTGTTTCACATCTCCATGTGTGTACTTAGAGAATCTAACAATACTATGGACTATTTCTAACCATATAATACAACATACTAATGTAAATTTGAAATGTTGTATTAAATTGACCATAAAAGTAACATGTTGCGCCAAATAACAGTTTGAAATTATGAAAGTTTGTAAAATTGTTGAATGAGTATTTTAAGTACATAAAATAGGCTCTTATAGCATAGGATCAGATTATCTGTTTGTTCTATTTATAGATAACCTTATCTACATACTGATTAATCAGTCTCACTTGTATGGCGTACGGAAAGGGTCAAAAGTAAATTATTTCGCATATGCTACAGTTAATACAGCATATGCTATATAAACTACAGCTTAAGCTATAATTTATGTACCCTATGCTGTAATTAATGTCGCTTAGGCTATAATGTATAGCATATGCTGTAATTTATACAGCATATGCTATAATTAATACAGCATATGCTATATTAAATGCAGCCTATACTGTAATAAATAGCATATGCAGCTTAAGCGTCCAGTTGACGTACCATAAGGGTCAAAAGAAAATACAGATTACGCTATAATTGTTGAAACATGTACATTATTTACATTTAAGTTATAACTGTCCCGAAAGGGTCAAAAGTAAATGTAGCATAAGCTGTATTGTGCCATATGGTTATAAGGTGGGGTTACTGTCAATCACAAATGATTCTATTATATATTTACTGTCAGTCACTCTTCAACTTTGAAGGCTATTCACAAATTAGGATAACGCCCATCAGAACAACATTTTGTTTAGGATGGGTGAAAATTAAAGAGCATTATGATTTAAGTAATTGATAGTCGAGTTCAGAGAGTTAATGAAATATTCGGAATATTTACATGAAATTATATCCTACTTCCACGTTTCCCGACAGCATAACATCATGAAAATTAGTTAAATTGATATTAATTATATGAACTAACCCTATGTAAGTGTGTCGCTTGAGCATTTTATTGATTAACCTGCATATATCGTGGTTCAACTGATCAGCGTGTATCGCACATAAACAAAATGGCGGACAATGAAATAACAATTGAAACTATTATCAAAACAATTGAAGAGTCCAACGACCTTAGTCTGGATAGCATTTACTCAGAATATCCTCCTGAATGTATACCTACAAAGTTAAAAACGCCAGCAGGCGATAAGGCCAAACGAACTAAATATGAGTCGATAGACATAAATCTATATGAGGACAAGGCAAACATGGTTGCCTTTCGTGTGAAAGTTGATCGAATTCTCTTGTGGATCAAAACTCTTCATGTATGGTATTATGATCATCTTGGTAATTCCGCTGAACATGACATAAGGTGGTTTGACGATCCAGCTGATTGGAATAAGAATGCAGGAGGTAATAAAGCCATATGTATTGAAATCTCAACGAAGCATACACATGATTCAGAAACCCCCCTTCTCTACAAAATAACATTCTTTATTAACACTGGGGTGATTCAGACTCAGGGTAAGGCCAAAGACAAATTTGTTCAACATGACTTTCCCATCCTAATTGCACTGATTAATAAAATTAAAGAGTTCAATGGTGACCGGGTTGTCCAGCATGATACACCTAGCACTGTAGAAGAGGGCAACGAGGCAAACACTGATGTTACCAGTGAATCAGGTAAACATGACAATGACTCAAATGAGGACAAAGTTAATAATGACCAAACACATGGAAAGCAATTATTTGAAAACAGAGGTGATTTAAACAATAACAGTGAACCTCAAGTAAACAACCAAAATAATGAATGGTCAGTAACACAATTTAGACCTGAGAAAATGTTAGAGAGAATGGAAAACTTCTTCGTACTTGCTCTAGATAAGATTTGTACAAAACAATCTGAACTTTTTTCAGCTAAAATGAAAACAATGGAAGATTCATATCTAAATCACCTTAAAGAAAATGATAATAAACTTGCAAAAGTACTTGAAAGTGTTTCCAAAATTCAAGTTGCCAAATCTGATTCCACAAATGCATGTGATCAGAAATTTTTCAACAAATTAAATACACTTGAGCATGAAAACTCTGATTTGAAGATGTCATTACAACAGGTTAAACACACAACAGAATTGGACAAGTTTCAGTTACAGTCAAAACTTGATCAGCAAACATCTCAGTCTGAGCTTCAAAAGGTGAACCATAACAAATCACAGAAGCAATTTGAGTTTGAAATTAATAAATTAGAAACTACAATACATGAGAAAGATGATAAACTTAAAACTTTAGTAAGCTCATGCAATGAACTGAAATCTAGATTAGAAGAAAAAGATGATGAGCTATACAGTCTCAAACAACATGCATGTAGAGATGATGGTGCAGCGCATTTTCAGGATGTTCCATCAAGAACTAGACGATCTACACAAAGCAACTTGCGTCAAAATAATGCAGACAAACCACATGTTATATTAATTGGAACGTCAAATATTGAAAGAATTGATGTATCTAAATTGTCATCAAAGTTTACAATGGAGAAGCGAGTTGCTTACACTTTACCTGATACCGAGAAAAGTTTGCGAGAAATTGAGCATGCACCTGATATAATTGCGTTTCACTCCTTAACAAATGAGCTACGTGAAAAAAGTGCAGAAATTTGTGTTAACAAAATGAAGGAAATTATATCTTTAACATGTGATTTATATCCATCTTCAAAAGTTATCTTATCTACACCAACACCTAGAGCTGACAACGAAAGCTTCAATATGAAAGGTCAGTTGATAAGTGCTTTATTGAAGCAGGAATACTTTGATACCGAAAAAGTTTATCTGTGTGATCACAGTAACCTAGCTAATAAAGGCAGAGCAATCCCTAGATTTCTTAGTGAGGATGATAAATATCACCTTTCAGATCAAGGTGTAAACGTGTTTGCAGCAAATATTCGGGATATAGTTGATGAAGCACTAGATCTACCAAAACGTAGACCTTTTTATAACAGCAATGTTAACCTGAATAACGGATCAAGAGGCGGATATCGTGGACGTGGTGGATATCGTGGGCGTGGTGGATATCGTGGTCGCGGTTATAACACTTATAACAATTATCAAAGTCGGGGTCGTGGATATGGGCAGCCTTAATATGCTGATACATTTGTATTTAGATTTTCTTAGTAAAGAAGATAAAGTTGCCAGTTATAATTAAGTTTTGTTTGATATATTGTAAACAATTGTAGCTAGATTTTGTTTTGCTTTCTGTTTTATCTAAACTTAAATTGTCATTTATATAGGACAATAAAAAGATAATTTCATTTTTGCCTTTCCTTAGTTAGAGGAGTTTGTTATTTTATAAGAGGGAAAAGAGTTTTATTATTTTACAAGGATTTCATATTCATATTACCTGCCCAAAAGCTGACTGTCAAAGTTAATAAAAGATTATTGTACAATTAACCAGTGGTGAGAGGGAATTTTAAAAGATTACTATTAAAAAAGCAATTATGACCAGTCAAAAGAGAAATAATTTTTTTCACAACATAACATTTTGTGTTTGGAACATAGGTGGGCTTATTTCAAAGCATCATGATAAAATAACAGATCCCCTTTTTCTTCAAGAGATAAGAAAATATGATGTTATACTATTAACTGAGACCCATGTAGGTTATAACACTACAGTCAATATTGAGGGTTTTAACTATTACCCTATTTGTAGACCACAATCAGCTAACTCTAGATACTATGGGGGCTTAGGTATTTTGATCAAATATGAAGTTCGCAAGGGCATCAAGATTTTGATAAATACATGTAAAGATTATCAATGGTTACAGTTTGATAAACATTATTTTAATCTAAGTACAGATATATTCCTATGTTTGGCATATATTATACCAGCTACTTCATTTTATGTTGATCAATCAGAAGATGACACACTAGAAAACATAGAAAAAGATATCATAAATTTTAGCCATCAAGGTAGTATTATATTGTGTGGGGACTTAAATGCAAGGACAGGGTCAGAGCCAGATTTTATAATAAATGATGTTAATGATACACATATACCAATGTATGATAATTATAGTTGTGATATTATTCAAGAAAAGAGATTAAGTTATGATATGAAAGTAGATTCAAGAGGTAAACAACTTCTGGACTTGTGTATTGCGTCCAAATTACGTATTTTAAATGGAAGAATGTGGGGCGATTCTTATGGTAAATACACTTGTATAAAAGCAGTAGGTAGTAGTGTGGTTGACTATGTTATCATGTCGGAAGACTTGATTGAAGATACTTTATTTTTTCATGTTGCTGATTTTTTATCAACTCTGTCAGACTGTCACTGTAAACTGACATTTGGCCTGTTAGCTAGTTACTCGCATAAAGCTAAGGAGCAAGACAATACTATTTTATTTCCAGGAAAATATATATGGTCAGAAACCTCTACACAAAAACTTCAAGATACTTTATGCCAGCCAATTATTAGAAATAGTATCAAAAATTTTTTAGACACAAAATTTAATCTTTCAGAGGACTATATTGAAAAGGCAGCTAATGAATGTTTTGATATAATAGATAATGCTGCCAGTAAATGTTTAATATTCCGTAAAACCAAGAAAAAAGTTGCACGTAAATACAAAAACAAAAAATGGTTTGACAAAGACCTGGTACAAAAACGTAAAAGCCTTATTTCTAAAGGTGAGCTGTTATCAAAATTCCCCTGGGACCCAATTATAAAAGGGTCTTACTATAAATGTTATAGGGAGTATAATAAGCTACGTAAATATAAACAAAGGAAATTTAAACAAAACATTCTTGACAGTCTGGATAATCTAAGGGATAATAATCCAAAGAGTTATTGGAATCTCATCAAAGAATTAAAAGAAGACAATTTGGATGGTCCAGAACATTCTATTCAAACTAACGTCTGGTTTTCATATTTTCAATCTTTAAATCTCAACTCTGACAAATTTAAAGACAGATTAGAGGAAATTAACAAGAAAGTAAAAAATTTAGAAAATAATCCAACTTTTTGTGAACTGGATTACAAAATAACCCTAAAAGAAATTTTGGATGCTATAAATAAACTAAAGAATAATAAAGCTGCAGGACTAGATGGTATCCCAAACGAGATATTAAAATCAGGGGGTAGTATATTTGCACCTGTTTTGCAGAAACTTTTTAACTTGATATTCTGCTCTGGAACATACCCTCGCAAATGGTCATTGTCTTATATATGTCCAATTTTTAAAGCAGGGAGTCCTAGTAAACCTGAAAATTACAGAGGCATAGCAATTAATTCATGCATTGGAAAATTATTTAACAGTATTCTTAATAAAAGACTTGACATTCATCTTGATAAAAATAATATAATTCATCCATGTCAGGTTGGTTTCTCAAAAAAGAGCAGAACATCTGACCATATGTTTGTTTTAAAAACCATATTAGATAAATATACTAACAGAAAAGGGGGGAAAATTTATGCTTGCTTTGTGGACTTTAAAAAGGCTTTTGATAGGGTCATACACTGTGGTATTAGATACAAATTATTGGAAAATAACATATCTGGAAAATTTTATACTATTTTAAAAGACATGTACAGAAAAAATGAAATGTCGGTGAAAGTGGGTAATGTACTAACGCCATCTTTCAGCTCGCTAGTTGGGGTTAGGCAAGGGGATGTTCTAAGCCCAAATTTATTTAAGCTTTTCATTAACGATCTGCCTCCAAGATTTGAGTCGAGTCCAGATGCTGTTTATATCAATGGGCGTAGAATTGATTGTCTTATGTACGCCGATGACATTATTATATTATCAAACACTAAACAGGGTCTGCAAACCCGACTTGATAACCTGCAAACTTATTGTATTGATTGGTGTCTAGATGTTAACTTGTCCAAAACAAAAGTTTTAATTTTTAACAAGCCTGGAAAATTTTTGAAGGAATCACTTTGTTTAGATAATGAGGCTATAGAATGTGTTAACAGATATAAATATTTAGGGATAGTCTTTACTTCCAGTGGTCTTTTTCAGCAGGGGAAAGAAGAGCTATTCAAAAAGTCCTTAAAGGCAAAATTTAAACTACAAAAATCCATGTCAGCTTGTAATCCAAGTATTGATACTGCAATCCATTTATATGATCACACAATAAAACCAATTTTATTATATTGTAGTGAAATCTGGGGTACCTTTAAGATTAACTCTGCTGCTTGCAAGAAAAAAAGTGATTATCTATTTGAATTAATTTACATAAATGATTATTTGGAAAAATCACATTTCAGGTATCTAAAATATATTCTTGGTGTAAATAAAAAAGCCTCAAATTTGGCAGTGTTATCAGAGGTTGCAAGATTTCCTCTTTATTTTTCTGTCATTATATCTATGGTAAAATATGTACACAGGCTTAACAAATTGGACGATGGGTTACTTTATGATGCTTATGTTTGTAATAAAATTTTAGATGCAGGAAACATTAATTGTTGGTATTCATCTATGAGATATGTCCTTCAATCACTTGATATACAAAATTTGAATACAAAGCTCAATAGATTAATTAAATTTGTAAAATGTAAACTTTGTAACAGTTTTAAAACATTTTGGGGGGTCAAAAGATCTGATACCTTATCACAAGGTAATAGTAAATTAGAAAATTATTTCAACCTCAAGACTGACTTCGTAAAGGAGGCTTATTTATCAATTAAAGATTTTAATATAAGAAGAGCTATATGTAAATTGAGAATAAGTGCACATGATCTTAAAATTGAGAAAGATAGGTATAGTAAAAAATACATAGAGAGAAGTCAGCGTCTATGTCATCACTGCCTATCACATGGATCAAATTCTATTGAAGATGAGACCCATTTCACAGTAAGTTGTCCTTTATATAACGAACAGAGAAAATTATTATGGGATAAAGTAAACAGTTTTTGTAGTAATTTTAAAGAATTACCCAAGGATAAAAAATATTTCTGGCTGTTCACAAATGAGCATTTACCAACTCTTATGTGCCTAGGCAATTATATAATTAAGTGTTTAGAAATAAGATCCAGGTGGATACAAAATATATAAAATTATTATGCAATTATTGTTAATGTTATGTAAGACACATGATGTGTTAGGCTCTGATCCTGTCCAATATATGATAGTATTATATTAGGATATAGTTTTTCTTTTTTCCAATCATATTGTGCTTAATATTGTTGTAAATGATGCCCTTTATGGGTTCTTGATTAGATTAATAAAATTCTTATCTTATCTTATCTTATCATGCTTATCTTAGAATTATATTTAAGGTAGCACAATACAAAAGCAACTAAATTTTATCAAAATTTAATTTTCATCTGTTTTTGTTACTTCTTTTAACAATTAATGTTGCTGATGTTTATACTAGAATTTCTTGAGGATAATGTAATAAATATGAATTCTTATTAAAAGAATTAAATATTTCATTTTCAAACTGCAAAAATAAAAAAAAATATACTTGGAGTAAAACACCATATTGTCATTGTATACAATATATATTTCTAGTAATCCCTCATAAAGATCATCTAAACTGACCGACTGATCATTTTGTGTACACATGCATAACTTACTTTTTGTAACAAAAATGAATGCAAAAAAACAAAAATATATTATTTTATGTACTAAGAGGAATAAAATCAATATTGAAAATGCAATGTGTAATTAAGCTTCTGATATTATTTATTGTAACTGTTTATCATAATAAGCGGAGTTTTGACCATATCAGTAGCAACCGTGACTAACAGCAAAGTCAGTGATGATATAACCTCTCCCGCCAGATGTATATTGATGCGTAGGTGTGTGCATTTTCTTTGTATATTTAGAATTGCTGAAATGAAATGCTTTCATACTGGTCAAAACCTAACTGATTTATGATGAAAGGCCAATCCTGAAGTATCCAAATGGTACATGTGTGAATTATATTGAAGTAAATGGGGTTTAAGTAGGAAAATTCTTATTTATGCAATTTTGACACATTCATTTTTGACATTAAAATGTAGTTTTAAATGAAGTTAGCTACAGTACTAGAAGTGTGCCCCTATATGCCTGATTTTCACACATGTTATTCCTTGAACAGTTATCTTCAACATATAGTCTCAGATCCAAAAAGCATCAAAAGAACAAATGTTTTACCCAATTAAATTTAGTGATCTCTTATAAACTGAGGTTGACATCGTCATTGAAGGTTTATGAGAGAATGAAATGAATAGGGAAAATCTGAGACATGGTTTCGGAGTTCAAACTGTGTTGTACAAGAATCTTTAAAATATTTTGGGATGGAATGAAAAACAAAGAAGCTT